AGATATGTAGAATGTCAACACCGAAAGTAGCTTAAAAAGTCACTGAATTCAATTCCTGTATTTCACAACTGAAAACATTCAAACCCAGACAGAAGCAAAGACTCTCCAAGGACACACACAGGCCTTTTCCCTCAACTTAGTCTACAATTTCCTAGTCTCTGAGTCTCATCATCTTCTATTTATTTCCTTTTCCAGTGGAAAGGTATAAGGGCAATGCCCAGAGTCTCAGCATGGCTTTATCTGACCCCAACAGAGGAGGTTAAATGAGTTTATCAACTGGAGAATATGATACGTGGAATCAGTCTCCTCTGCATGATGGTGAGTGACCAGTATGAGCTAAGTGCTCCCTAGTGGCACCAAAACACCCACATGGAGGTTCAAATTTCCCTTCATGCATATTCCACTGGCAGTGTGCTGCTATGCTTCTAAATGGGCTAACCCACTTATCTACTGCATTATAAACCATATCAGTCACTTACAGAAAGTTCTTAGACTGCTTGAGCAATCATCAATTACTCCTAAAAAGTGCAGGTAAGCATTATTATGACTGTATTTCCTGTCTAACAATTCTACCTCAGCAATTTTCATAACCATACTTTTCAGTGTTGCTTTCTTTCACCTTATAAACACTTGGTTTGCACGGCATCACAGATTCTGATATTCACATACCACGAAAGTAAGGTTGCCTCATTTTTGCAAGCAGGCAACGTGGAAATGTAAAAAAAAAACGGTTTTTCATAAAATAAACACCCAAAGTCCAGCCTTATAACCCTTTGAAATGTGTTGTCTATCTATTTACCAACGTACTGAATATTTGGTAGTGTATTAAAACAAGCAAAATATGTAGAGATATGGGAGAGAGAGAGATAAATTATAAAGGCACAAAAATTATATATGGGAAAAAGTTGATGAAGCATATTTTTATATGTCTCATTTTTATAGATGTTTATGAAAAAATACAAATTATAGTCTTTTATAATGATTGGGTTAAACCAAATACAATTTATGTGATTGTTTAGTAATGAAGAAAGAACCCAGTAAGCAATCACTTCCTTAATAAATCTTTAGAAGAGGATTCATAAAAATAAATTAAGATAAAAGGATAATCATATCAGAAAAATTCCATACTGATATTCATAAAAACAAATCATCGGTGTACTAAGGTGCTTCCTAAACAGAACAAAACTAGTCAATCTGCTAATCTTTGGGGAAAAAGAAAAAATTAGTAGGGGCTGAATAATAAGAATGTATAAATGAAATGGGTTAGAAAACATTTCAGGAGGGCATCATTAAGTACTAACTAGGCAAATTAGCAGAGATTGCCCACATCTTGATCTAAAAGGAAAAAAAGTATGCTGTTTTCCACAACAGCTGCAGAATTAAACTGCAGAACATATTCTCTTTCACAAAAGTCCTTTGGTAGTGAATTTCATGAATGTCAGCAGAGTAGTCAAGCTCATTCATGAGTGGACAGAAACAAGAATGCGAATGAGAGGTCTCTCCTGGGGAAGTAGTGGCTGCTACCAGGGCCATGGAATTCACTCAAGGCAGAAAGCATGTTGAAACTGAGCAAAGACAAATCTGAGGCTGAGAAGGCATGATGGTAGACATATGCTGAAATGAAAAAAAAAAAAAAGAAAAAAAAAAAGCCTTTCCAATGTGTGGAATCTCAGCAGAAGATTTTTCAACTTGAGCACACAAGGAAACACAGGATTGAAGTCTAAGAAATTCCTAGCAAGTATGAAAATTCCCCTGACCTTGCTGACATAGAAAGCATCAGAGGGAACATGGCAACTGGGATGGAAGGGAGTTCATAGTAATAAATTTTGTTTGAAGATTCGCTATCAATAAGAAGAACCGTAAGACCATGTGTCTACCTAGGAGTCCTGATGTAATTCAGCAGTAGACAGGAAAGAAGCTACAGTCAGAGAGGAAAGGCCATTCGAAAAAAAGAGGGCTCAGCAAGGACGCAGCATGATTATTTCAGATGATTTTCTCTGGAAAGAAGAGGCAATCATTGACAGGTAGGGATAACTGTTCTTAACCGAATACCGGCAGCTGGTCACCATCAACCTATTCTGATAAAACATTTTTCTCACTTATTGATTCAGAAGGTTACAAGTGATGCTTCTCCAACAGCACAGATTGACTGGAATCCAGCACAATTAAAACAGGAACCTTTCTGTTTTTTAGTTTCCTCTTCCATCCCTCCCTTCACACACACACATACACACACACACACACACACACACACACACCCCTAAACCATGGGCAAGGTCTATGGCTGATAACACATTTGGGTTCTGGGAAAACTGGTGGTTTGTGTTTATTTCCCTTGGTGTTATTGTAGAAGGGAAACAGACTAAAATTTTTAAACAGCTGCAACAGCCATCTTTGGCAGAGACTTTTAGGCATGTGTGGCTAATAAATTTTAGAATTTTAGGGGGATACTTAACAATTCATGGGTCTTGAAAGTTTTCTACCATCTTCTTGGATTGCTACAAAGGAAATATACAATGAAATTACTAAGGAATTGAGGGCTGAAAGGAAATTAAAAGGCATCTCCCTGGAAAATTCTGGCTATAGAAACTGCACTTGTTAAGAGATATACAAAGAAAAACCAAAATAAACAGGCAAAAAATGTCAAAATTGATTTGTGTACAAAGAAAACTCGTGCTCAGATGCTGAAAGGAGACAGTGAAGGCAAAAGACTGACTTTAAAACCTTCATGTTGAAATCAAGATAAGAACTGAAGAGAAGGGAAAGAAGAGAAAAGAAAGAAATTTCAATATAAGTGTAATTTGGCAATACAGGACGTCAAGGAGTGAACCCAACTCTGACCTAAGTAAAGTCCTGAAAATTCTACTGAATTAAAAATTTCCAACATAGGTAGATTCAAAAAGCAGGTAGCAAAAAGGGAGAGAAAGGATGGTTGGTGCTTGCACTGACTAACTAGCCTCTTGCATCTTAGAGACTTTGGGTTGGAGGATACCAATTGAAGGTATCACACAGTGATAGTGGAGTCACCTTGGCTTTCAAAAAAAGGAAATGGCAAAATTCAGTGTGCATTTTCCTGGTGTGTATCTTCATGAAATACTTAATGGGGGGCCTCCATAATGGCACAAGGGGCCTCAGCACTATGAAGCTATCAGCAGCCTCTGCAGCAGGAGTTCAATCCCTGACCGGAGAGCTAACCCAGACGGCACAGCAGACCTCTCCTGTCTCACCCGCTTGTCTCCTCAGCAGTGTATTTCAGTCAATCTGCCTGTTCTGCTCCCCACTCTGTCTCTGGTGAATCTTCTTTCCCACCCCACCACATACCTCTGGCTTATACCTCAGTTCTTGTATGCATAAATAAATTAAATAAATTTTAAAAAAAATCAAGACCTAATGGGGTAGATCCTTATGATGACCATCAGGGACATCTTCAAATTCATTAATTCATAAAATAAATTTAGATTGATTATGGCATTAAGAATCTTTCAGTGGTTGGGTATACAGGAGCCAAAAAAAAAAAATCACAAGACAGGCAAAAGTTCTGCTCCTATGGAATTTGCATTCCGAGGAAAAAGAAACACTGTGAATGTGACTTTGGAACTTGGTAGGTTCAATGAAGACAAAGGATAAAGGGCATAGGATAAGGGTGATTGGTACTGAGGTTGTTTGGTACATAGTTCCTTTATGTTCTGCTTGATATGATCCAATCACTCTTTTTTATTAAAAAAAATTAATTTATTTATACAAGAACTGGGGTACAAGCCAGAGGCACGGGAGGGTGAGAGAATTCACCAGAGACAGAACAGGGAACAGAACAGGCATACAGACCAAGGAGCAGAACAGGCAGATAGACCAAAAACACTGCTGAGGTGAGCAGTGGGTGAGACAGGAGAGGTCTGCCATACCATGTGGTTATGTCCCTAGAAGACTGGGAATCAAACCCGCGCTGCAGAGGCTGAGGACAACTCCACAGCGCTGCACTCAACCTGCTGCACCACCGGGGAGGCCCAATCTCTCTCTTTTTTAAGACTATTTATGCATACAAGAACTGGAGCACAGGCCAAAGGTGTGGGAGGGGTGGGTGAGGAAATTCACCAAAGACAGAGTGAGGAACAGAAAAGGCAGATTGACTGAAATACACTGCTCAGGGGAGCAGCGGGCAAGTCCCGAGAAATCTGCTGCGCCATGTGGTTCACCTCCCTAGCTAGGGATCAAACTCATATTGCAGTGGCTGCAGATACCTTCATAGGTTGCATCTTAACCCCTTGCACCACCAGGGAGGCCCCTAATAAGATCCAATCTCAATCTGACAGTAAGACATGCAGTTTTTGGTCCCTTTGAAGACCACTCTCCATACAAGAACAACATCAAGACATTTAATATTCTAAGCATGCATGCTAAATTCTAGAGATTCTTGTCATTGTCAAACAGATTTATATCTACCAATCCTTACATTCTCTCAAATAGATACATATATAACCTAGCATGTTTATAATGGACCTTAGATTTATAACCATTTTACCAGTTTTAATTTTTAAAACCTGCATAAATTCCTGAATTCAGGAATTCATTTATTAAGTAAAATATTTTCTAAACTATGCATCTCACATCCAAGCCATCTGCATTTTTAAAACGTAATGCATTGCCAAGAAAAACAATGGACTGTGCCAGATGCCGCCTGTCTAGTTGCTGGTCTCCCTTGAAAAAAGCTATACCAGGTACAACACTGTGAACAGAATTAAATCCCTGAGTTCCTATTCTGATTTTTATAACATTCTATCCACACTGTTGTTCATGTGTTAATATATCCTAAAAAGTAAAATGTATTATTTTGCAATTCTATTTTCCAAGGCTAAATTAAAAATTAAATCAATGCAAATGACATGGGTTAAACACCATCTGAACACAAAGCAATTTCACTTTCACCTGCCAGAGATTGTAATCTAAAAAACTGCCACACCAAGAAAGTGAATCAAATAAAACATTTTTCAGAAGGTACTTACAGCCAACCATCATCATGGCCACCGAAAACATCTTCTCCACATCTGTGGTAGGAGCTATGTTTCCAAATCCTATGGTTGTAAGGCTTGTCATGGTAAAGTAGAGAGAGGACACGTAGAGTGAATCCTTGCTGGGGCCTCCTTCCCAGATCCCTGCACTGGTGTTATATCGGTATGGAGTCCCAATGCTCAAGGCCAACTGGTAGAGCCAGCTGTCTATTTGGATGGTGTTCGTGACTTCATCGATGACCTCGTAGTCCCCGATGCTGTACCAGATACAAGCCAGCCAGTGGGCAACGAGACCAAACACACACACCAGGAGCACAAGGACAGCGGCTCCATACTCCAAGTAATGGTCCAATTTCCTAGCAACGCGACCCAGTCGCAAGAGACGCACCACTTTTAACGAACTGAAGAGACTGCTGATGCCCTGAATAAAAGAAAAGAAATGATGGGACATTTTTAGGAAAGAAAAGACTTAAGAAACAAAACAATAGCTCATTTCATGAACTTTAACACCCATTTATATACTAAGAACATACACATAATACAACTCATAACTATGAATATAAGTCAGCAAAAAATGGCTGAAATAATAGGAATTTTTAAAAATCAGATTCCCTCCCACCCTGAAATATTTGTGAACTATTAAATAAAACAACTTTTCCTTGGGGTAAACCCAATTTATCTCTTAAGTGTAATGTAAATATCACAGGGAAACACTAAAGAAGAAAACTGCTTAAAAGCAATACAGAGAGGAGAGAAATAGGGTGGTACATTCAGATCTTTTATTTCTTCTTCCTATAAAACTTCCCGACTGCTCTAAAAGATTTAATAATAAAAATTTATAATAGTTACAAACAGCAAAACTTCTGAAAAAGGAATCCCAATCTTACTTGGAGCAAACAGGAAAATATTTGGTACATGTGAGAAGGAGCACATGTCATTGCTGGCTCCACTACCTGCTGTCACTTGACAAGCACTAAATCTGGAGAGCTCTGGAAAAGTGAAAAGAGTTGAGCCTGGTGTGGAATATAACCTAGTAAACCCTCTCAACAGTCATAGAAAAGTATGCCATAAGGGAACAGCAGCAAGAAAATTTATATCTTGTTGAGACATTTCAAACATCAAATATAGCATCATCCAAATGGAAACAGCATAGACTTTTCTTCAATCAAGGAAGATCTCAGAGTTCCTTCATTTGGAAGGATATAATAAGCCACCAGCAAATAGGGTAACTGCAGTCCTGATGCTGGGAGGTAAGACAGTGCAGTGATCCTGGACGCCTCTCAGCTGATTGTCACCTCCCAGTCCCACAGAGTCCGTGACTTCCTTCATGCTAATTCTGTCTCCCACAGGGGAATCTATCAGAACTAACTCTGAGCTAAATTCTGACCAACAGGAGGAATTGGTTGGTGTAGTGGAACAGATGTTACATTAATAAGACTCTAATTATGGCATCATAAAATTCTTGACAAGGTGAAAAAGGTTAAAAATGCATTTGATGGTGCTATCTGTATGGTAATGAATGCAGGGGGAGGGCAAGAGACACAGGAGACCTTCTGGAAGAGGAAGAGCAGCAGGAGCATCCTGAGAGTTTTCTGTCTCAACCTGGATATCTGTAAGCCTGGCTTCATTTCCATTTCTACACTCAACTGCTGTGCATACAGACAGTCTTAAATTCTCATTTCATTTGAACACTCAAAGGGGGCGGGGGAGGTATTAAACTTTTGGCAGTTCAAGAGAGCAGCATTAATAAAATTCAAAAGATGAATTGGCACAACTCAGTGACATGAGATGTTGAAGGGTGAAAAGATTCAACAGTTTGGAAGCTCTCGAGACGGAACTATGCAGTCGTGAACAACAAAGACAGCCGTAAGCACTTATTGAGAACTTCTCTGGGCTAGACTCTGAGGGACAGTAAGATAAAAATGCCTAGCCTGGCTCTAAAGAAACACAGCCAAAAGGCAAGAAAAGTTCAAACAGAGTAAAATTTAAAAATAAATAGCAGTATTGTTATAAATGGTATTCTTTGGTTAACTCAATTTTTTTTTAAAGATTTATTTATTTTTATACAAGAACTGGGGTACAGGCCAGATGCGCGGGAGGGTGAGAGGATTCACCGGAGACAAAGCAGGGAACAGAACAGGCAGACTAACGAAATACACTGCTGAGGGGAGCAGTGGGCGAGACAGGAGAGGTCTGCTGCACCATGAGGGATTCTCGCCGGTTGGCTGGGATTGAACCCGCACTGCAGAGGCTGCGGACAGCTTTACAGAGCGGTGCTCAAACACCTGCACCACGAGGGAGGCTCTAACTCAATTTTTTAAAGTAACTGTGGTACTTCCATTTAAATACTGCAGAGAAAAAATCATTTCTACCAGCATTCTTTTCTCACAAAACAGAAAGAAGGAAAAATAGAAAGGAAAGCTTGATCTCCACTCAACCTAAAATACAGTCACAAATCTCAACTGGAATGCTAAGAATCAGAGTCTACTAGAATTAACTCCAAATGGTGGCAGGACCTCTAACTTAGAACTCTCCCAAAGCAGGTGACTTGCACCCCCCTCCAAAGAAACCTGGTCACGAGTCCACTCAACCAAAGCAAATATTTTCTGTAGCCATGTTTACCACCACTTAAATAGTACAAAATACTTTCCAAGCATTGCAATTTCTCTGTGATGGAGTCTGTTAACACCCCTTTCTCCTGGGCTTTAACCAGGTCCCCAGCAGATATCTCCAAAATCATTTTCTAGAGCTACTTTCTTCATGCTTCTATAATATATTAGGATTCTCATCATGATCAATCACCCTTGGTCCCCTTGTGGTTGATTGACTGCATTTCCATGTTTCAACTGGCTTCTCTATATGGATGATTCATTCACAGACCCACTTCTCAGCACAAAACTGTTTCCCCAGTTCCTGATATAGAGCCAAACAACTGTGATACATTTCCATTTAGATATACCAGAGGTGTTCAGAAGGTAAGGTCCAAAATGGAACCTTTTGCTTCTCCTGAATCAGTTCTCCATCTGCTACTCTCCTGATGTGTAAATGACATTTTTCTCTACCCAGCCTCTCAGCTCTGGGGCTATGCCTGAACTCCTCCCTTTCCCTGCAGCATCAGGCCAGCAATCAAGCCCTTTGGTTCTCACAGTTCAAAGTGCCTGAGTAAGTGCTCCAAATATATACTAATAAACTTCTCCAAAATTTCCCTTCCTTCCTAGTCCTAAAGTCAAGCCTTGGTTATGACCTCATGATTTTTCTCAGTTTTGTGACAGGAATAGCCTCTCCATCAGCCACCCAACCTCTATTCTCACGCCATTTAATTCACAGATCACAGTATATAGGCTACCAGCATGCTAATTTTTAGATCTCATATATTTAATCACGTCCCTCTCTCTTCTAAAATCGTTAATGGTAGCTAGTTAACTATAGGATTAAGTACCAACCCCCTACTATGACACACAGAGCCCTATAGGACCTGGCACCTTTCTACCTGGTAAGCATCACTCCCACAAACTCTTCCTCGTGCTCTCTGGACTCCTGCCAGACTCATCTTGGCTTAGTTCCTACAGCTGCTTTATGCCACATTATAAGTTGTTCCTTTTGCTTAAAGGGTTCTTCCTCTTTCCCCTACCCCCAACCCCCACCCCCACAACCTTCTTGGTGGCCTCAGCCTTACTAATAGTATATGATGAATATTCCTTGCTCCATGTGTATTTGGACAGCTCCCTCCACCCAGCATCTGCTCTACCATACTCTCTCCTTCTCCCCCACCATCAGTTAGGTGACCTTCCCTGGTATTATGCAGATCTGTTAACAGTTCTTACAGTTCATACATGAGCATGTATGACATCCAGGAAACTCGAAACCTCTCAAGTATATCTAGTGTTAATTACAAAGTTTATCATATAGTAAGCCATCAATACATTCAATATAAAACAAAAAAAGTTTTTTTAACAAAAGAAAATGTGAGTGAGGTTAACTTGGAGAGCTTCACTTAGTAATAAACAAAATATGATTGAACAACATAATGTGGGCAAGAAGACAGACAATGAGACTTTGAGCTGCATTAATAGAGGTATGGCATCTAACATGAAAGATAAATTATCCTTAGCTTCTCCCCTTTCCAGAACACACTTGTAGGAGATACAAAGAATATATTCAAGAGGACTGGAATAGGAAAGGCAAAAGGAAATGGAAAAAAGGAGACAGGGACAGAGCTCAAATACACAGGACATGAGCATTGAGCTCATTCTGCAGAATCCTAAAGTAGGTGACCTGAATCATAGTTGGACCTGCAGGGATAGAAGAACACAACAAAAATTTCAGCAAGCCTGTAACTACACTTCCACTCAGTAAACCAACCAGAAAGCAAGATCACTCACTCATTGCTACTTAGAAAAGACAACCAAGGTGATTGTGATATTGTTCCAAGAGTTTTATATATAAAGTTTAATTTTGTTAATAATCCTATTTGGTAGGTTTCAATACAAAAACATAGCCCAGAAGAGGTGAAGGAGTTTGACTATGTTCATGCAGCTACTAAAAAAAGGTGCCAAGATTCAAAAACAAGCAGTCAGACTCCAGTCCCCTTGCTCCTAATCACTTCCTGACTCACTCGGAAGTTCACTGTATCTAAGCATAATGTATAATTTAACTTAGCACATCAGTGTCTCATTAGTAGCTGAAACGTGTATTTTCTACATGACTGAGTGAAGGAAAGTAAATACCTAGTCACTCCCTTACACCCAACAGGCACAGCAGTGGCCTACAATGCAGTCTCTGGAAGCCCTAGATTTCTATCGAGTCTGAACCACCTCATTTCATCCTCATAATAGCAGCATTTCTGCCTCCATTGGTCATATAAGGTTAAAAGACTTGTCCCAAGTCATACAAGGAAGGAATGGAAGCATTTCTCAGGTCTAATCCTTTGGATTCTTAGTGCATTTCCCATAAGAACAAAGTGTTGTTGAGCCTTCCTGTCATCACTGTAATATTAATAATCACTACAATATTAATCTTCCTATAAAGCAGGATTGATCCTATTCTACAGAGTCTTATAGACATTAGATTAAATACAATGTCTTCTGAAGGTCTTCGAGGTCCACAATCCTGTCTACAATTCCTTTGCAATAGCAATAGGGCTCAGGTCAAACCAAACTACTTTTTGCTCCCAAACATAATCCCAAGATTTACCCTTGAATTTGTCCACAATATACTAGTGTATGAGAAATCCATAAACTGTTATTTAAAATTAATAATACCCAAGTAGGAAAATCTAATTTATTTGAATTTTTTTCACAAACTCATTCTCTAATCTTTTGTATCATTAATTATGATTTCTGGCAATCATAAAAATCAGGATTGAGAGTAAGATGACTTGGTTTTAAAATATGAGGAAGTACTTAAAACTGGACACAATTC